GATCGAAGGAAGAGGAACCATCTGCAGGCACGTTGGCCTACGAACACTCGGGGATCGAGGACTGGCGAAGAGGAGCCCGAACAGGAAGAGCAGCGCGGAGAGTCACCGATACTTTCCCACCGAGGCGAGGATGGAACTCGGGGACGGGGTCAACAGATCGCGCGAGGCGACTACCGATGGAACAATCATTTCCGAACAGTTCTCCGGCGACCGGGAACGGCGCGAGACTCGACCGCCGCGGGTCGAGGCGTCGGGGGTGTTCGCGTGTAGCGCGTTTCAATATCGATTAGAGCCGATTACCGGTTACGGAGCATGTAATACTCGATTTAAAGGTACACCGACTTTAACGATAATAATTACCGAGCTTAGTTGTTAAGCGTAGCTGATATAAAAGAAAATGAAAAACACGAAAAAAAAGACGGAACACCACCGCGCGGCGGTGGACGAAAGAGGATGGTGAGCTGCGCTTTCCGCGCCGTAGCCGAGAACGAACGAGCGAACCGCGCGGAAGTCGCCGGTCGTCGTGCGAGCACGACCGGATGGAAACGGGCGACCGTTCGAGCGTGTGCTGTGAAAATTCCCGGAAAACGAAGGCTGACGCGGTTATTCCGACTTCGCCGGAAACATTCGCTCGTTCAGCGGGAGTGGGGCGTTCGCGCTGCACCATTCCTTTCTGTTTCGTCGGGACGATCGGGTAGGACCGCACAACGGACGAATCCGTCGTCGGGGTCTGTCCCGCGAGTCCCGTTGCATACGCATAAATTAAGTTTGAATTTCGTGATTGAAAGGGGATCGCCGGGACAGCGTCGTCCCTCTTGGAAGACGGGACGGCGGGCCCGGCTGTCCCCGTGTGCCGGCGCGTGCAATATTAATTAGGGATATTACATTATAGCTGATCGAATAGCCAGTTAAGGATGGGGGTACTAAGGTTTAAGGCGGATGGACGGCGAGTTATCCGAGTGGACATCGACGCGCGGCCTGCGTGCCGCTCGCCGAATTCGCAGTTTTCATTAGCGACTTTTCAATTAAACTACCTGTCCGTCTGTCTGTCTGTCTGTCTGTCTGTCTGTCTGTATGCCTGTAAGTCTGTCTGTGTCTAACCGTCAGCCTGTCCGTGTCGGATCGAGTTTCTTGCCCGCCCGCCGCAGCTCTGAGACGAGTGTCCCGAGGCGTCGCGACGTCTTTCGCGTCGCTCGTCGAGCTTTCGAGTGCCGTACCGTCAGTTGCTGGGAACCTGGCACTCGTGACGTCGTAAGGGCGGGGACAGTCGCTCCGCGAAACCCGATCGCTAGTCCGGGAACGGTTCCCGCGCGACCCGAGCGGTAGGCGTGGCCGCCTCGGCCAATCGAGCGCGCGCCCTCGAATCCGACCGCTCGGACGAGAGCGCCAAGTTCGCTGCAACGAACGGTACACCCGCCGCGCGCGTCCCTTGTCGATACAGACTCGGTCGGTCTTTCCCGTCGGACCTCGCGAGGTCCTCGGACGCGGCGTCCCGATCGTTTCTACACTTTTTGATATTGTCCCCCTCCGGAACCCGGTCGAATATGTGTTTCCCGGCTCGAACGCAACCCGGTCATCCTCCTCGAACTCCGGCACACACTCCGGTGCGACCGTTCGACGCGTCAACGCCAGTCGTCGCTCGTGGTTCGTCGCGCGAGGCGAATTCTGCGGATTTTACGAACGACGCGGATTCCTTCCTGGAAACCTGGCGTCGACGCGTCGGCGTGCGCCGTCAGTCTTTCTCCGACACGCGTACAGGCGGAGGGAACGCGTGACACGCGAACCGATCTTTCCGCCCGGGGAGACCGCGCGCGTGTTGGTTCGGCGGGGAACGCGGAAGTTTGGGCGGCTCGGGCGTGCGGGGCCGCGGTGGACCGTCACCGCGGATTTTGTACATATTTTTAATAATGAACGACGAGCTGAAAGAGTGGCGCGATCCCGCGGTTCGCGGGGCTGGGGGACGATGGGCGGCGACGGGCACGGTCCCCCGCGTTCACCTTGCACCCGATTTTCCTGCTCGATCGCGGCGCTTCGAGATCCTGTTGTTTCTCGGTCTGCGACGAGGGAGGCTCGACGTCGTGAAATGAGAGAACGGAAGTTCGAACGCTGCGTCGACGATTAATCCTCTGCGCTCGGGAATCGCTCATCGTTTGGTACGGCATAGCGGAATTATAGGGTCGATACTCGATATCAAAATTCGTGTAATGTAGTCGTACGCGGACCGTTGAGTAGAGCAGTTCTATCCCTTGGTTGGTGTATCGTTTGTATCTTAGTTGTAAAGTGTGTCGATAGTTCGTTAGAAAACGATGAGCGCATCTAGCGAAGGAACTCTCGATTGCAGAGGGTTAATTTCTTCAATCCTCGTCCGTTAAACGAGAAGAAGGAAATCGGTAATCAGCATGTCGGAAGAGAACGAAACGATGAACCTTTCGTTCGAGCTGTTGTCTAGAGACGATCGAGCCGCGATCGAAGGATCCTCGTGCTCCGCTCGTTCCCAGGACTCCGTTCGCTCTCCCGCGTTTACCAAAAGAAAAAGCGACAAAAAAATGCAGCGATAGCGGGAGCAGGGAAGACTCAAAGATAGAAATTATTTTCTAAAAAAATACGGACAGAGCGCGGAGCAGTGGGAGCGAGGGAGGAGCCGGGAGGAAGAGTGCGTGAGAGAGCGAGTGGATGATAGAGGATCTATAAACGGGGGTAAAAACGTCGGCGACGAGCCGCCGCGAGATGCGCGCGGAACGAACGAGCGGAAGACAGCCGGAAGGAGGCTCGACGGAGATTCTCGTTCCTCCGCGGCGCGAGCGTTTTCACGAAGTTTCTGCGTTCGCAGCGGGTGGAAGCGAGGAACGGAAGAAACCGAGCGAACAGGACGAGCGGAACGTTGACAAGAGAAACCGCGAGAACCGCGGGAACCGGTGAAACTGCGAGGCTGATTTCGCCGTTGCATGGATGATTCTCATTTAGATATTCGTAAGTTTAAGGGTCGGGGGTCGGAGCAGCCTGACAGGCGTCGATCGCTCCGCTAGTTGCAAATTCGAGGCGACGCGAACGACGCGTTGGACCAGCCGGCGATTTCTATCTTCGCCGCCGGAGGATCTCAAGTTTCTTTCGCGTACGGCTCCGCGTTCGATCTCGAGAAAGAGACGGTGCGAACCTTCTTCTTCGTTCGACACTTAGGGTTAATTGATAGGCGTAAAGGTCGTTCTAGCGAGTATATTTATGCGCTTCGAAGGTACCGATTTTACTTCTCCTACCCCGAAGGCTCCGAAAACTTTCTAGCGGTCTCTGCAGTCCCCAATCCTCTCTAGTCATCCACGCGACACGTGCGCACACGGACATAACACACACGTACACGTACACGAACACAGTACCCACGCTACACGTGTAAATGCATGTATCGGGATCGCCCCGGCGATCGTCGGCGATCGTTCCGCGGGTAAGCTAGGTGGCTCTCTTCTTTCCATCGGACTTACTTTCCGCCCCCGCCGGCGTTCGGGCGAGGCCAGCGTTGGGCCGGCGGTCGATCGATTCATCCGACACCTCCGCGATAGTTCGTACTCTGACCGAGAAAAAGGCTGTTGTTGCATTTATCGTTTGTATACATAGTTCGAACGCTGTAGCTGCACAGGATACTCGTGTAAGGACTGACGTACTTCGACACCGTCTCTCAGGCGTCTCTCGAGATCAGGCGCGCCGGTTCGCGATTTATTTTTTCACGCGCGGACGATCGTTCGCGTTGCTCGCGACTCCGGGGAACGCGGGCGGAAATCGGTTGCTCCAGGAACAAGGTCGAAGGATGCGTTTCCCGGCGAACGCAGCGTCGCGCTCAGCTCGAATCGATGCCGTTCGCACGCGACTCCTCGCGATTCGAGGGACGAGTGCTGTGTCAGCTGTTTTCCAGGGGAATTTCAATCGTTCGCGAGGAACGGAAGTTCGTCGAACGTTCCTGTGGGAACAGAAGCCCGTCGCGATCCGTTTCGGCCGGGATACGCGTGTACGTATACGTCGGCGCTGCTAAACGGAGTCAGTGGAATCAGTGGGAAGCGAGGGAGCGCGTCGAACGGCTCGCTACTTGCGCGATACCGCGGCGGAAGCGGATGAAAGGCGAGCGGAAGCATCGCGGTGCGCGACAGCGAACGGGAAGCAAAGTGTACCGTAATGAACCGCGCCGCATAGCGAATCCGTCTCGCTGCGAGCGTGACGCGCGTGTGCGTAAACGCGTCGACGTAGGTTCTTTCCTTCGCAGCGCGCGAGTGATTCGTTCCGGCGCGTCGTTCGCGTACTGTATAAAAGCGGGGAGTTAGATATACGTAGCGGTAACATGTTTAATTAATTGATTGAATGGTTGGTTGGTTGGTTGGTTGATTGGTTGATTGATTATGCGACAACTGTCACGGTCGACGAACGCCGACAGGCGAAGAGGAACTGCAGTGCGAGGCAAAGTGATTCACGAACACGTTATTTCTATAAGGGGTCGGACTCGGGCACGCTGGAACGCTGTAAAATTTTCGAGAAAGTGGACAAAATACATTGTATCTGTGCTGCCATTAGCGTTAAACTAAACGAGAGTGAACTGAGGAAGAGAGCGAGAGAGAGAGAGAGAGAGAGAGAGGGAGAGTGTGTGTGAAAGAGACAGTGCGAGAGAGATCGAGAGAGAGGGAGAGAGAGAGAGTTTTAAGTGGACAGACGAAGCCAAAGTATATAGTTAACGAAAAGAATAAAAAAACACCCGGATTACACGCGCATCACTTACACGAACACGGGATCGTACACGCAGAGAAACGTGGGCAACACGTGTACCTGTTGTTCACGTTCCTACACACGTACATGTACACGTACACGGAGATATACACGATGTACACACTTGCATACATACAAATCTACACACATAACCGACGTTGTAATTAATAAGTACTTTAATCCCGAGAAGAATTCGTTTCGCGGTACAAGAGAATGATTTTAGGAGCCTTCGTGTTGAATTAGCAGTCTCATTCCATGTATCATATAATCGAGAGATCG